TGTGTGTGTGTGTGTGTGTGTGTGTGTGTGTGTGTGTGTGTGTGTGTGTGGTGCATTTCTGCGAACGGTGACTCAGGGACAAGTTTACCTAGAGTTACCAAGAGACAGGAGGGGATGATTGCTGAATGGCCAAACCCAGCACACACTCATTAGAGCCCTTAACCCAGCAACCAGCAAACATAACACTGTTGACAGAGTAAATTTGGGAAGAGTGTGAGTGGATCCATATAAACACATCTCCACTCTGGGAAAATAACAGGAAGCATTATCTTTAGTGGCATAAAAAAAATCACACAATTTGGCAGTATTGTATTCTAATTTGATCAAGGATCAAATTTTATTGTATGTTTAAGCACTTATCCATTGTAAAGTCCAGAACTCTCAGCAGTGTGTTATCTCAGTTTGCAAACATTTGTACTCAAATATTATTACCCACAAGTACATGGGGTCAATTTATACTTCTTTTCTTTTTCACAGGAAGAAATGAAAAGATTGCAGAATCCTTTAGAACAAGTTAATGATGGAAAATATTTACTTGAGAAGTAAGTAAAAAATACAAGAAATTATTTTGTTTGAGGTTAAAAAGCTTGCAAGAAAAAAAAAATACCTGGCAAGACAAAAATGAATAAGTAAATTCCACAGTTTCTTATGATATCGTTGTAATCAGGACTCAGAAATATGGCTTATTTGAGATACAGTAGATAGATGTATGGCTAGTTGAGCTATGAAACACAAGCCATACTGATTAGCAGAATAATATGATGCATGGAGATGTGGTGCTATGTCTGAGGCTTAAAACTTGACAATCCGGGACGCCTGGGTGGCTCAGTTGGTTAAGCGGCTGCCTTCAGCTCAGGTCATGATCCCAGAGTCCTGGGATCGAGTCCCACATTGGGCTCCTTGCTTGGCAGGGAGCCTGCTTCTCCCTCTGCCTCTACCTGCCACTCTATCTGCTTGTGCTCACTCTCGCTCTCTCTCTCTCTCTCTCTCTCTGACAAATAAATAAATAAAATCTTTAAAAAAAAAAAAAACTTGACAATCCTGCCCCGTTTTTGGCTTTTAATCAATGACGTGTATGGAAGGCAGTCATAAAATTTTCAAAAAGGACAAAGTAACAACAGTAAGACTGATAGAATGGACATTTAAAATAATATTACAGAATGGAACAAAACCGTGCTGGAAAAAAAAAAAGCAAGAAAGAGGTGAAATTTAACAGGGATACAAGTGAATTTTTCATTTAGAGTTTTAGATTGTGCAATTAGAGCACGTGAGGGATATATTCTGATTTCAGTTTGTGAATAGATGCTTTGAGGTCTTATCTGCTACTAACACGAGACCATGATTTTATATGGCTTCTAAAAATATTACCACGACATAAGACTGATCAATAGCCATGCATTGTCAAGATAAAAGAAAGAATGAACTATCATTTACTGAGCATTTGCAATATCCTCCATATTCGTGAATGTTTACAGATGTTTCCTCATAGAATTCTGATTACAGCCTTTGACATAGGTACTATTTCCATTTTATCGACAGGGAAAGAGGCTCAGAGAGCTGTCAGCACTTATCTAAGTATATTTAGCTCAGAGTAGCGAGGGTGAATATTTGGATGCCACCAGTGCTCTCAACCACTAGCTAAGTCCCAGTGCAAAGCCCATGTGGGTGTCACGAGTGGCTCTGGTCATCACGTTTAAAAAGCACATACAGGGGCACCTGGGTGGCTCCGTCAGTTAAGCGTCCAACTCTTGATTTTGGCTCAGGTCTTGAACTCAGGATCTGTGAGATCAAGCCCCTCCTCAGGCTCCACTCTGGGCGTGGGGCCTGCTTAATATTCTCTCTCTCCTCCTCCCTTGCTCTCCCCTACTCATGTGCTCTCTCTCTCTGTCTTTGTAAAATAAAATGAAATAAAATAAAATAAAAACCATATAAACCTTCCCAAAAGCATCAGAGGAGGTTAATTAAAATTATGGGGATTCTGGAATAATGTGAAACTATTACAAAGAGCTGAGTATGTGTACTTGGAGAAAAGAAATCTCAGAGGGAACATAATGGCTTTCCTCAAACATTTGAAGGAATTTTCCTATTAAAAAGGGGGTAAATTTCCCTTCTGGCTCTACAGAGCATAACAAGAATCAGTGAGCAGCACTTATAGAGAGACAGCTTTGTGACTCAGAAAAAGAATAACTTTTATAAAAATGCTGCCTGCCCAACAGAATGGACTTTTGTGTTAAGAAGTGAGATGACAGATACTAGGGGTTTCCAAGAGTGAAATGCCCATCCATCTGAAGTGCTATTGAAAGCATTCCTGAAAATGGGAAATCTTGGATGTGATTCCTCTTTCTGATTTTATCCTAGCTTTGTGAGTCTGGACAAATTATTTAACTCCCCTGAACCCAGCTTCCTCATCTTTAAAAATGAAGATAGTAAAACTGACTTGACAGTCTTAGTGAGAGCATTAAATAGGAAGTGCACAATAGCATCGTGCCTTCCATGTCAGCTTCTCTTTCCAGCCCTGTGGTTGTTTGGACTAGACACTTTCAGATTCATTCTGTCTCCATGATTCTAAGAATTTGCCATGTTATCACTTGAAGGACAGTTTCAGCCCTTTGATTAAATGAAGTTTCTGGGTTATCTTCAGATTTAATTTATACTTATCATGTCTACTCTTATTAATATGAATAACTAAGAATAAATTAATTCAGTTCCCACCCCCCTCATCACCACTAGCAATATGTAAACAATAATAATTTAAAAGTTTTTGGCTGTGTAACTAGAAAGGTTTTCCTTTATGGAGATTAGTGTGGTAATGACATTAGATCAGTGGTTCTTCATCCTGGATGCCCTTAGAATCACCTGGGAGTTAATAAAAAATGAAATAAGCTTTTGCATAACCTCCATCCTAGACAAATTGAATCTGAATCACTGGGGTTGAAGTCCTTAAATTAGTATTTCTTAAAAGCTGACTTCATGTGACTCAAATGAGGAGCTGGGGATGAGAACCAGTGGTCTTGGTACATTTTAGATTCCTTTTGGTTATTCAATAATCTCATGTAACTTAATTCTCTTAGGACACACTTTCTCTGTGACTTTCAGCCCTTTTGACATGGGGTCACTGAGCCAACGGTCAACAAAAGAATTCTTGAGACATTTTCGGTGCAAAAATGTGTTTTTATTAAAGCATGGAAACAGGGCCGGTGAGTAGAAAGAGTTGCACTGTGATCTTAAGGAGCTTTTGATTATATACTTTTAGGTTGTGGGGAGAGGGTAGAGATAAAGTCTCTACATGGATTTCCATATGCTAAAGAAGACTTAGAGGATACTGGAGGTCTAGCTGTTCTCAAATTAAAGTTGCTTTTAGTCTCTAGCAAAACATCAACATTATTAAGGCAGCCAGGAGTTCCCTGAGGAATATTATACTCTGCATATCTTAGGTATTTGTCAATAGACTGCAAGTTGTAAGGAAATTTAATTTTATCTACATTTCTCTTGCCTTTGTTCTCCTTATCACTTTTATCTATTAAATTTGGTTATGTTGGTATCTCATTGTTGATTTTAATATAAGAAGTGAACTCCAGAAGTTTTTTCCTTGCTAATTGACCCACAACTCTGTATTCAGCTTTTCACTAGTGCCAGCATGTATCTTTCTCAGCTCTCTGCTCTCAGGAAGATTTGTGAAGATTAATGGCAGATATGTGGGCTTCTGCCTCCTCCTTCCTCCCCTATTCTTTCCTTGTTACCCAGAAGCAGGGAGAAGCTAAAAGCCCCTGGAAATGGCCAATCAGCTTTGCATGCTTATTTTTCCTTATCATGATTGAGGAATTCCAGAGATGGGAATTAAAGTCTCCCCTCAAAGCACATAGGCATGTGGGGTAAGCTTCCCTTTCATGTTTGTCCAGGACAGAGAGAAAACAGTGGCTCCCAGCCTTAACAACCTATACCCATTTGCCTGGAATTCTAGAGATTTTTCCTGGTTGGCTTTGGGGCGAGGCTGTGTCCTTGAAAGCTGTCAGACTTGATTGAAAAATTGGTATACTTTGTGTGAGCAGTTCGGCATTTCATTATAGCTGTAGCTGACTTAGGTGCTGATGTAAATCATCTCAGCTACTTGAAATGACCATAAGTTAAGTGATAGTGGTGTCATAGCTGTTGATCAGTTATTCCCCCTTGGAACATTACATTTATTCTGAATGCTCAACAGGGTTTTGTGGTAGACAGTCAGTGTGAAGGGAGGGTAAGCCGCAGCTCTGTTCTACTGGAGACTGTATGTAGGGCCAAACCTATGCATTCTGTGCACATACATACACACACTCAGTAAAGCTTCCTGTGTGCCCATAGACAGAAGAGTAATTAGTAAGACCATTAATTAAAAGCCTGCTTATGACTGTATTGTTTTTGATAATCATTTATTAACTTAAATAAGACCTCAGGGTGCTTGCTATTTGTTGTAAATACTGAATCAGGCTGGCTTTCTGGTGGGAAATGTGTGATTGTTGGTCACACATTCACCTCACGTATCATCATTTTATTACCCACAGGTAATTATTGATGGAATGAGCTAAAGCTATCCAATTAAACCTACAGGTATTCATAATTTAGAGTTTGTTGAGGTTATATAAATTATAACCCCAAATTAGCAAATTTATTAATGTTGTAATTTTTTTCTTTTTTATGAAAACTTGAGCTTTGGCTTTGGTTGCTGCATAACTACAGGACCCACAACACCTCACATGTATCTCTGTTGCCCAGTTTGCTAATATGCTATTACGGGGTTTAATTAACAAAATCTTTCTTTTTTAAGATTTTATTTATTTATATGGCAGAGAGAGATCACAAGTAGGCCAAGAGGCCGGCAGAAAGAGAGGAGGAAGCAGACTCCCTGCTGAGCAGAGAGCCCGATGCAGGGCTCAATCCCAGGACCCTGAGACCATGACCTGAGCCGAAGGCAGAGGCTTTAACCCACTGAGCCACCCAGGCACCCCTAATTAACAAAAACTTAAAGTATCTTTACTATAAGGTTGTTGTCCCTACAAGATCGTAGACTTGTAAAAACAAGACTTTCCATGCCCATCAACCCTGGATTAGGTCCCTCTGTGTTTCCCCTATAATAGCATCCATCACACTTGTAATTATTTGTTTAATATCTATCGTCTCCTAGATTGTAAAACCATAGAACAGGGACCATGTCTAGTGTTTTCACCATTATATCATTCGTGTTTTGCATCATTTCTGACACATACAGAAGACATACAATACATATACAAATGAGTGAATAAGGATGAATTAATAAGGGACCCAGAATATGAATGGTGCAGAGCAAACAAGAGTGTTTTTTTCCCTTACCTCTGGACATCCCAGTTGGGCAACCACAAAGCTATATTGTGCTGATGGCACCATCTACATAGGCCACATAGGAATTTATCTAGTCCACTATGTGTTTCCCCATCTCTTGGTTTTTCCTTTCAAAAGAAGAAAGAGGAGAAAATCCTAGATAACTTCAGCACATTGCTTTTAATCTTTTTCTTTTCTTTTCTAAAACCAT